TATATATATATATACTGAAATAACAATAACCATAATTGATTTTAACCGGTGTGAAATTAAATTCTCCTTCCATGAATTTGGCACCCGTGCCGAAATTCGTAGTCGGCCTAATTGATCCCCACCCCTTCGGGTCGAAACCAGTACAGTATAAATATTTGTAGACCTACAAACCAACAACCAGGGGCCGTAGTCGACTGTGCGTTTGGTTTTTGATAGACAAGAAATTGACACTGTTTAATAAAAAGGAAAATGACATAGGGCTACTGAACTTTTATTAACGACCCATCAGTGGATTTTTACTTCATATTTATAAATGCAGGCCTATTTGTATTAGATATTGAATGTAATCTCTGTGTCTATCACGCTTGTGTGATTATGAAGTTTTAAATATATCATTAGCCTTCCGCAGAAATATGAAGCACACAGAAAATTACCTCCAAACTCATCGGAGTCAGAACCGTCTGGACCTACGATTTTAGGGGTCAATCGAGATTCAATTTCGTTCGGAAGTTTAGCGGTAGCCTGTGTGGTTCCTTGATTTCGGCGTATCCCTGCTTCATATGAACCCCGAGTCGGACGAGGACGCTGTAGCGGTAACAGCCGATGTGTAGGTCGAGTCTTCGTCAATTCACTCGTAACTGCTGAAGGTTCCGATGTCGATTCTGGAGTAGGCCTAGCTGACAGCTTACACCTTCCCTTGTAAAGCATCACAATCTCTTTCAATGTTTTACAAGCCCTTTTCTTTAATAAACATTTTGACCGGTAAGTCTTACCATCACTCCCACAAACCCGTTGCGATACAATGGAAGGTCTTGGACAAATCTTACAATTCACTGGTAGACCTGTTCAAAAAGCAACAACAATTAGTATGATTTTTTTAGTTATATCAGTGACTAAATAAAGAACTATGTCTAATTAACTTTATGATATATTATTGATAATAATAATAATAATAATAATAATAATAAGATTTATTAAGCGCACATCTCCACTAAAGTGCTCAAGATTGATATTATTACTATTTATTGTAATAATGATTATTATTACCATTATTGATACTATAATGATAGGGCCTAATAATAATATATTATTATTGCATTACTATATTATATTACTAAAAAATCACAATACAATTTGATTAATAAAGAAAAAGTGGCAAGAAGAATAAAAAATGTTATATTTCGAAAAGAAAATAAAACTTAAAATATAAAAAGACTATGGTCTGATGGTCTAAGACCATTGTGAAAAGCATTGTTGTATTTTAGGAGCAAAGATGGATCATTGAACAGCTAAGTGTTCATGTAAGGCAGCTTATTGCGTAAGGATAGGATTGATACACGTTTTTCCGGTATCTGGTAATTTGCTCAAACGCTATGATATGGTAATTTATGGAGGATGGGAACTGGGAATAACATGCAAGACAAGGTTCTTGTTCTTGTCAGTTCTGGTGGGTAAAAGACAACTTCTAAGAAAGTAGGTGTATAGCAGAAGTGGTTGAATTAATTTCAGTGATATGAAAGTTCTACCACCACAGCGACCCACAGTATTGTCCATAAAAATATAATCATAAGTAATCTAGTAATAACAATTGTCAGTCAACAATGAGACCATCTGAAACAAGACAAAGAAAATTTCCAAAGTTGGACAGTTCAGTGAGACCTAGTTTGGGAGCAAATATTTCTTTAGAAGCAAACAAAAACCAGGTTAACAAGCAAGCATTTCGCATATCAGATCTGTATTTCTCAATCACACGAACAAATCAAATCAAATTAAGTCAAATCTTTATTTCACTCGTTTTTTAAATAACAAATGCCGAAATTAAGGAGGCAAGCCTGTAAACTGATTCCGGTAACTAACTTAATTACAAAACTTCAGATTACAATAATATCTTCAATCATCATAATAATATTAATAACAACAATAAGAACAATAAAAATAATCTTAAGGATTTAGCTTGAAACATAAATACCCCAACACAGAAATCATATAATTCTTTAATTCTAAGGATATCGTGTTTTAAAAATAAAGGAGGAGCATGAGAAAGCCTTCTTCCATTTGAGAAAATTCTAATGGCTCTTTTCTGTAGAAGTAAGATTTTATTGATGTAGACATTAGAGGCACATCCCCAGACAATGACTCCATAAGATAAATATGGAAAAATTAAAGAGTAATATAATAATTTTTAAATATTTGTAGGGACGATCTCTTTAACTTTATAAATTACACCAACTTTCTTGGTATGATATTGCGAATATTGTGAATATGGACATCCCATGCCAATCTCTGATCAATATATATTCCAAGAAATTTTGTGGATTCCACTCTTGTAATTACTTCACCATTTAGTGTTATTGGAGCAGGTGGATCTTTCAAAATGTTACTGAAAAACATGAAGCTAGTTTTTAAAACGTTGAGAGATAAGCGATTGGCATGGGTCCAGTCCATGATATAACGGAGTTCATTATTTACAATTCTAATTTGTTCAGTTGCATTCTTATGAGAAAAAAGGTTACAATCGTCAGCAAATAAAATAAATGATAAGACATCAGAAGAGCGAACAAAATCATTAATGAAAACAAGAAATAGAAGGGGACCTAACAGGGATCCCTGCGGGACTCCACAAGTAACACGTTTACGCCGTGATTCAACCCCATTAAATTGGACGTACTGCATTCGACCAGTGAGGTATTCTCTAAGCCACTCCAAGGCCTTGCCACGAACACAATAGTTAGATAGCTTAAGGAGAAGGATGCCATGATCTACACTGTCGAAGGCCTTGTAGTAGTCTAGAAATACACCAACTGTATGCAATCTATTATCAAGTGCAGTAGTAACTTTATTGAAAAGAGATAGAATAGCATGGGCAGTTGTGTGTTTCGCTCTAAAGCCATATTGATCTTTAGTAAAAATGTCGAATGAGTTAAAAAAACTTAAAGTACGGGTGTACATAATTCTTTCTAAGATTTTTGAACAGGAAGTAAGTAATGAGATATGTCTATAATCAGACACGTTTTGGACTTCCCCTTTCTTAATTATAGGGATGACTTTTGTGACTTTCATTTGGGATGGTACAATTCCACTTAATATCGAAATTTTGTACACATGAGTTAAGGGTTTAACAATTTCATAAGCAACACTTTTTAATAAATCATTAGAAATACCATCAAATCCCGGGCTTTTTCTACTTTTTAATTTATTCATAATTTCAAGCACCTCAAACTCAGTAAAAGGAGTAATAAACATTGAATTAGTATTAGGAACATCAAAATAATGTTTTGGAAGTTTGTTGGTTTCATGGATATTACTTGCAATTACAGATCCAACATCAGAAAAGAAATTATTACATTCCTCCGAGATAAGTGTGGCGTCTCTAGTAATTTTCCCATAACATTAAAAGCATCATCTTTCTTACTTTTAGGATTAGTGCCTAATATGTTTTAATCACTTTCCATGTGCCTTTAGTGTCGTTGAGGACTGCATTAAATTTGTTAATGAAGTATTCACTTTTAGCTAAACGCAAATCTGTTAGATGTAGTTACTTGAATCACTACTCCGAATGGGAATCTCTCTCATGTGGTGTTCCACAGGGAACTATAATTGCCTCTCTTATTTTTCGTTGTGTTATCAATTCCGCTTTTAACCTAAATGCATATAATGCTGAGGATCTGAACATCCATGTCTGGAAATATGTTGATGATCTGACACTTAGAGAAAATAAAAAAATGGCTCTCCAAGTTCCATTCAATCTTGCCTGGACCTTTTACAGCAATGGTCAGTAAGAAATAAATTATATCTTAATCCCTCCAAGTGCCAGATCATGCAGGTGTATTTTGGTCGTAGGAGATTACCAGACATAGATTTTCACATCTCACATACCATACTCCCAATTGTTAACAGAGTAAAACTCCTCTGGGTGGTGATTCAAGACGATCTTAAGTGGGATGGTCATATCGATCAAATTGAACGATCAAATTGAAAGAAATGCTAACAAAAAATGTTTATGCTTAAACAATTGAGAGAGGTAGGTCTCACTTCCAATGAACTTTTAACCATCTACGTTGGTTATATTTGCCCAACCCTCGAATATGCCACACCAGTTTGGAACTGTGGATTATCTGGAGCACAGATCCGTCGCCTTGAGAGGGTCCAAAAGCTCACATGTCGCATTATTCTTGACACGTGAGTATGTTTCATACGAATGTGCCCTAGCAACGCTCGGGCTGGAGTCGCTCCCTGATCGCAGGTCCTCAATATGCAGAAAGTTTGCCCAGAAATCAGTTATCAATCACAGGTTTTGTCATTCGTTCCAAACCTCCAATAATACCTCATCAATGCCTCTTCGTAATCCCAGAAAATTCGAAACTGTTATTCCTAGAACCGAAAGGTTTAGAAATAGCCCTAAACCTTTTCTCACCAAACTTCTTAATCAATATAAATTAATCCATTCCTAGGTGTCCTTTCTGCGAGAGTGTTGACTTGTGCTCCGGGGGCGGATCCCGTCCCGGGTGGTGTTTTGGTTTAATATTAGTTTAAGTTTCATTAGTTTGTTTTTGAATTTTTGCTTTTTTTAAATCGGAAATTTAAATGTTTGTGCATATTAATTAATATCAAATTTTTTAAATAATAATTGTAACTAATTAAAATAATAATAATATTGACTATTTTAATTGATCTTAATAATGATAATGACTTATTGTAAATTTAATTCAGGTTTTCTATTTTGTAAATTGAATCCCCAATTCAGCCTCTGGCTGCTAAGGATTTGATATTGTAGTTGTTTTGTTTTGAATGTATGAATAAAGATACCGAGATATAGAAAGAACGCAAATGTGTTCGAAATACAATACATACAATATAAGTGTATATACATCTAGATGTGTATAAGAGACAGGGACACCTAGGAATGGATTAATTTATATTGATTAAGAAGTTTGGTGAGAAAAGGTTTAGGGCTATTTCTAAACCTTTCGGTTCTAGGAATAACAGTTTCGAATTTTCTGGGATTACGAAGAGGCATTGATGAGGTATTATTGGAGGTTTGGAACGAATGACAAAACCTGTGATTGATAACTGATTTCTGGGCAAACTTTCTGCATATTGAGGACCTGCGATCAGGGAGCGACTCCAGCCCGAGCGTTGCTAGGGCACATTCGTATGAAACATACTCACGTGTCAAGAATAATGCGACATGTGAGCTTTTGGACCCTCTCAAGGCGACGGATCTGTGCTCCAGATAATCCACAGTTCCAAACAGCTATTTAGCTAGTTTAGGAGAGCACTTTATGTTTTGTTTTTTGTTTTTTTTTTTTTGGTATGGTTTGAAGTACACTACATCTGACTTTTTGATTTTATGATAAACAACATTATTTTTACCTGCATCTTCAAGATCAATAGGAAGTGATTCTGTATTAAATCCCACTGAAGATGTTGTATGCTGTGGAGTCACCGTAGTCGCATCTGTATGTGCAGGGCTGTTGTTGACTGTAACTGTATTAAAACACTCGCCTACGTATGCTATTTCCAATTCTATATCCTTTCGACACGCCTTCCTTTTTAACGAGCATTTAGAAGGGTATGTTATCCCATCTGAGCCGCATACTTGATCAGTTTGTTTCGACGCTGCCGGACATATTTTACAATTTTCTTGCAAAAGATATAAAATACGATTATTGCTTTATTTTTTATTGCTCTTCTATATGATTATAACAATGTTGTTTAATACAATGTTACAGTTTTGATGTTTACTCACTTTCGTTAGCTATTCATATTTTTACTCATCTTAAATATAAATTTGCAATAAAATGGTACCTTTGTCGGCATTCGAACCTCCGATAATCCACGTAAAGGCCAACATGTACACAAAGATGTGAAGTACGCTTGTTCTGCAAATACAGTTATACAGATATATATATATATATATATATATATATATATATACATATATATATAAATATATATAAATAAATATGTATGTATATATATAGCCTTTGAATGGCTATGCTTGATAGGCCTACATTTATATCATACTATTTCTATTTGAGTATGTAATTATTGTATCTATTTGTTTATGCTGGTTTTCAGTAATACGCAGCAAACCAATTAATTCAAATATTATATATCCTATAAGCCCAATATAGGCCTATGAAAATTTACAAACATGACTCAAAATCCGATTCAGTCGATAATACAGTATTTGCATTAACTGTTAATTTATAACTTTACCTTTTACTGCTCTTCATCTTGCTTCCAATCTCTAATGTACCACCAGTGAAGAACTGAAGTAACCAGAGTAAGCCAAACATATATATGTTGATATTATCCGAGTGTTCAACTGGGACTAAACCGGTAGTCTTTTAAGTATTTTCAGATGTAAAAAGGGGACTTGAGAGGGTACACTTGTGCATTTTCTGATTAAAACATATACACATTTGTTCACTGTTGGGTGAGTTATCAGTTAACACTCAAATCGATAAAGCTATATGTAAAACACATTTTAGAGATTTTGTATCAAACTGATTCACGTTTCTACTAAATGGTTGTTGTTCATCTGATACACATATGCATTTACTTGACTTTCGGCACAGGTCCTGGGAAATGACACACTCCTAACAATTTACTTTATTTTTCAAATAACAGTGGATTACTAAAATGAAACTTTAGTTATGCAAAGTCCAACACATTAAGCTATCTAATCAGGTCCAGAAGCAAAAACAAAGGAAACTAATGTCGTGGTGCATTCACAAAAAAGATACTTAAGAAGCTACGTTTAGTTCACTTAAGGAAGCATTTATTATGTTGGGTCAAGAAGGTATAGTTTCTCACGATACATTTTCTGTGACTGTTTCCGTTGTCATTTACACAATTGACGAATAAACTAAATCATTAGTATCATTTAAACCTTCTGGAGTACGGTATAAAGTACTATAGTACTATAGTATAATTAAATACAGAAGCTTATTCTCTACACTAAAACATGAATATGTTGTTAATGCGTTTATGCCATGATGATCAAATTGGTGAACATAAATCGTAGACGACGTTGTCATAAATTTTATTTCATTCAAGTTCATACTTTGGCTATTATTCATTATCATTGTGTCGGATTATGTCCGGACCATCGTAACTGCCTCAACACATTTCGTGTACAAAAAATGCCATATGTTCATGCTCATGTTATGTTTATCATTACTATTACAATGTAAAGTAACAAACTTTGTTCAATAGATTGTGTTATACAGTAGGCCTCCATCTGCAAATATTTATGAGATTGCGTCATCGCTAGCCATATTATACTGTTAACTTTGTCATGAGTTTAATAAATTAAAATGATAATAACAATATACCCCTTCCTAAATGTTCAGGTTTTTCTACAAATATCACCACAATGAAAAATTTACACATAATCCAAAAGTCCGACATAAACCAATTATTAAACTCAAAACAGTAAGCTCTTCCAGCCTCGAGACTCATGGATTAAAATTGAAAAAAGGCTAGGAAGATGCTGACCAGGCAAAAGCATCAACTCAATCAAGGGAAACTTTCAACAATCTTCTATAAACAGTTTTATTGGATTATTATTAAGTACGTAAGTATTACCTAGCTCAAGAACGCTGTTGTCATTCCTTACCCACATGCAGATTTTTTTAACTTTACTATTGCAGTTGGCAAAATTCCCTTTGCTTAGAAATCATCGTTTGAGTCAAATTTATAAGGATTTAGGAGATGCGAATGACATGAACGCTTATCGCTCAATTGCATTAACACAGTTTGCAAACTCCTCGAACGTTTGATAGATAATTAAGTGTTTCGTTACTTACGTAATTCATTCTTATCCCAAAATCAGTTTGGTTTCCGTAAAAAATATTTATGTTCAAATCTTTCAACTTAAGTCTTTCACTATTGACAAAACTTGACCACTCAAAACTTTACAATGTACATGCGTCTTTTTGGATTAGAAAAAAGGCCTTTGACAATGTATACTGCTCTGCTATGAAAACTTCATAACATTGGTTTCTCCAAACACCTTTTGTCATCGACACAATGTTCGCTTTTGTGGACGTACGTCAAATTTGTCACTTTATCTTCATCCTTGGACCCTTACTTTTCATTATTTACACTAATGATTTAACATCTTTTATTTCTTCTGGTTCATTTTTTATTCTTTATACTGATAACCTTTTGATTTTCAGACCTCTCAGGCCTATCCATACTCTTAACGACAAGTGAATTTTCCAGTTACCTTAACAGTATTCATCAATGGGTTTCTCAGATAATGGCACTAAACTCCAGTTATTCCGAAGTTTATGTATTGCTGGACTAAAACATGTCCGTGGCGTTAAGAACGTCAATAGTTTTCCTCTTTTTTTAAGTTTCCTCATATAAATATCTTGACTTTACTCTTTCTTCAGACCTTAAGTGGAATTCACCCCTTCTCTGTACTGTCTCCTTCACTTTCCTTTGGTCTTTATAATTTCTTGGTTACGCCTATTTGCGAGTATGCCGGTGCTGTCTGGAATCCTCAATTTAACTCGGACATAAAACAAACTGAAACCATTTAGAAAAAAATACACTCCACTGAAATGAGTCATAGCATCAGGGTAACACCCTACTCTTCCGAAACACACCCAGTACACTGGACCGCCATTTTAATTAGTCTTATAATGAGAAGACAACTAAATGAACTGTCGGCGAGGAGTGGCTCGAACCAGCGCTAATGATCAAGATTCAAGATTTCTTTATTTGTGTTCTTTCGAAAATCAGTTGGTACATCACATTGCAAAACAAACGAACAATATAATTAAAATTAGACTCTTCAAATTATTGGTTCTACAGGTGTGTGAGTTTAACCTTTTACCCGATGGTACCCAAAAATGCGTTTTAGTGGGTGGGAACTATCTCTCAAGATACTCTTTACTTTATCAACATTTTAATCCCACAAATATCATCCTGCATTTAATGCTGCAATTAGCAGGCCTTACTTAATCTTAGTAACCGTTCTGCCACTCGACTCACCAAATATTTACTATTATGAAGAACATAATGGGCATTGTGGCCTCCTTCCACTAACTCAGATACAAACCACACCATCAGAAATGCTCTCCTTTGACAACTAAATAAAGTCGTGAAATAATCGGAAGAAGAGGGGATTACATCCACCGTGCTCAAAATGTGTGCAGCCTAGATTTGAAACCCACCTAATAATATATTGTCACATCATTTCTCTTCAATCTAGATTTTATCCCAATTAGTTGATTGTGCCAATGTACTCTCAGTTTAAAAGTCAAGTGCAATAAGTAGCTAACATCCATCCATCCACCCACCCATCCATCCATCCATCCATCCATCCATCCATCCATTCATTATTTAGCCAAAAGAAATATACAAAATAATTATCAAACAATAAAGACAATTAAATTACCTAAGTTGGCTTGGATTAACAATAGTGTTAGTTAAAACACTTGGTTTGTGGTTTGAATGACATGTATAATGCAATGAAATGTAGATTTTCCCTGGAGGTCTGTTCGCTTTTGAGCTACCTGGTAAACCGGTACCACCTACACTCTACTTTCCTCAACAGAATTATAGACCAGTAAACCCCTACTTGTTTCAAAAGATGTACTGGGTTCTTTTAAGTGCACACGAGTCAAATTGAGTACACAAGCCATATGGTTCATAGTCCTAGAGGACTTGTTCAACCAGCAGAACCATTGGCGACTGTGCCGTTCGAACCAGCGCCGATATTATGGCTCTACGTTCGACGTCCCTGCCTTAACCGCTCGGCCATCCAGCTCGCCAGCTAGTTGTATACTGTATAGGGAGGTGGATAACTTTTGTTTTTTCCCAAAAAAAGATTGGTACATTTTGTTAGAGTATAATAAATAATAAACCCTACCATTCAAAAATGGTTCCTTTACAAGCAGGAAAATATTAAAGCACGAATCTCAAATACATTTACATAAATATCTGAATAAAGTTTAAGGCTATATAGGCTTACATGAGCTCCAGGAGTTTCCGGGGCTTAGCTGTCTTCTGTTTAAATCTTCGTTTCCAAGAATAAATAAAGTCACTTTACTTACATTATTAGGGTGTTAAATTCAGGAAATGCATCGCTGATATCAATCATCTTAATACTCTATTAGTAAGTAAATCAGGGACGCATGGCATACTATCCGTTTCCTCAGTATAAACAGTTTCGGAAAAGTCAAATAAATAAATGTTTAAAATATTTAAAAACATTTTTATCTGTAAATGCATTAAATATGTGGTAAGATTTGATAATATAACTAGATTAACTTGAGGTATTTAAACCTCAAAACCAAAGTATTTTTAAACATTCTCTTAAGCCTAACACAGTTATGTGTGTTTCCTTTATTAGCTAAACGAGTAGAACAGACCGATTATAGAAGGAGAACTTAAAACCAGGTCTCTTCTGGAGTAAGATCGATAGAAGCTAAATATTTTAATCAGGTCTACGTTTGTACAGATAATGTTAATTCTGAGTATGTGGAGTACCCATTAGGGTAATCTTTTGTAATTCTTGGAGGTCGCTGTTCCTTGGTACTTTGTTAATATTTTTTATATATAATTCCAAGTAAACTTATAATAACTGGTATAATTGTGTTTAAGTGCCACATTTTAATAATGAGTGGAATTGACTGGCTTGGTGGTTAAGATGCTTGCTTTCCAATCCCAGGGTCCTGGGTTCAATTCCTGTCATGACCAAAAACAATTCCACTCTCTAAACCTCATACTGAGATTTAGTTTCATCGTGTGTGTATGTTTGTCTTGTGTAAGGGATTGTAACAGGACAGTGATATATTCGCTACTGACAATCCTTAATTAATGCATGTGGTGTGTGCCTAACTAGATACACAAAATAAATTATATATAATTATAAATTATTATAAATTATTTCGATTTTCAGATCTTTGTACTTTTCGAGTGTATCGTACTCTTTAACAGAGATATTTTTATCACGTGGTACTACCATGTCAATGATTATACATGTTCCAGCTTTACGATTTTTTTTGTCTGCCTTATTGGCTTCGATGGTCCAGTGTGCGTGGATTGTAAAATCCCAAAGAATTGTCACATTCTTGGCACTAGTAATTTCAGGAAGTCGGTGCTCGTACCATTGTTCGATTACCTTGATGCTGTATTGATTGCATACATTCCAATGGATATATTGAACTATCCGACCATGCCGTACTATTGTCTCATCTAAACTCTTGCAGATGCGGCAGAGTAGTCACTGTCGTCTCTCATAATTTCATTTTTGTATACGTTTTTCGAAAGGCTTTGGACTGGTGCAGAATTTAGAAGACATAATTTTATTAGTAGGTGGTTCATATTTCTAATTTTGCAAGCTGCATTCTTCTTCTTTATCAATATTATTATTATTATTATTATTATTATTATTATTATTATTATTATTATTATTATTATTACTGTTATTATTATTATTATTATTATTACTATTATTGTTGACTGATGTAGATTCATCTATCCAGGCTGACAATAATAAATATCAATTAAAATGTTATATCTCTGGATAAAGCAGAAAACAAGACTACAGTGATAGTCGAAAGCTTAAAACGTAAGTTCTTTTGTTTTCTGCTTTATCCAGAGATATAAAGTTTTAATTAATATTTATTACTATTATTGTTGTTGTTGTTAATATTATTATCATCAACATTATTATTATTTTAGTCTATAACTCGATTTTATATGAAATATCTCAAATAATTAAATAAATAAATTAAAATGCGGAGGCATATAATATTGTGTATCGTTGCGTTCCAGTTCTTTTCTATGAACATAAATTTTATTAATATTTACAAGGCCTATGCAAAAAAAAATCCGTTTCAGTTTGAATAATGGTCAATGCTTTGTTTTGTGGTTGCATATTGTGTAAAACTTGTAAACACTTAATCAGTGTCATTTCGAAAGTGATTTGAAGTACATTGTCAAATTAAATTAATTTAATTGAGTTAACATGAGTAACGATTAGTTCTCTCCTAAAAAACCCCCTAGGGTTTGCATTATATACACAAGAATTGTTTCCGCTAAGTTTCGCTTACCTGATATTAGACGAACTTAAGTGTCCCTAAGGTAATCATGTCTGGACACACACATCCCAACTGTGCTAAGTAATTTACATTTCCTTCTATGGCTGTTACTGAACTGGACGTTCTGAATGAATTAGGAGTACTAGTCTGACTGTGTTCCATTTGTACTTTGGGTGCGCCTGTCCCTATCCATTAAGTCATAATTTAGTTAAAACTTGGTAGAAAAGGAAACTACTAAACTATGGTCACGTGACGGAGAATGAAAAAATCCCACACATAGCTAACGACCTGTTTTTATTAAATCCCAACTCATGAAAATACAAATGGTAAAACATGCACGGTCTCGCTGATGAAGTCAAAACATGCACACACACACAGTGGATTTGCATGTGTGCTCCAAGTAGAATAAAATATAAAAACAATTAAAAGACGATGTACAATCATTGAAGGTTGACTTGCGGATCACAAATTTATTAAAATATAATAATATTCGACAGCCCCTGATATGTTTATCAACGTTAAAGTAAGTAAACATGGAAGATCTAACATATACATAAAGTATAGATATAGCATTAACCATTCAGAACCAAGTAAAATATACAATCAGTTGATTGGATCACAAAATAAATGTTTGGTGACAAGTTAATAAGCAAATTAATTACACAAAAACAATGATATGATGGAGAAATTGACAGTTGTTTAAGTATTTTCGCATCTAGGTACGTGGTTCGTTTCTGTATTATTGATAGTATATTATTTCTATGCGATTTGTATGTGAATGTCTAAGTAGTGGTTCTGAATTCCGATCATATGCTCTCCCTGTCACACAATGTACCGATACACTTTTTACAGTTCAAGCAAACCAGGAACAGACGGAACAGCAAGTTTCGTAAATATCAAATTGAATTTCGGAAGAACGAGACGACGTCAGACAGGCGGCTGTGTCTAAACTTTGTCAGTCTACTTGAGAAAACAAACGGGTGTCGTGTAACGTACTGTAAGTATTTTCAATATTGCTTCCTTTATAGATCATCTAAAATGGGAGTTAGTTAAAATGGGATTATTAAAATTATATCGGTTTTAAATATCAAGCTATGCAAACTCTGATGCAAACTACAGAAACGGACACAAATGAGCGAAAAAGCAAAACAATATGATCGTTTTGCCCTTTCACTCATTTGTGTTCGTTTTTAAAAATTGCTTATCTAAAATAATTAAACGCTTAATATAAAGCTGTGGAAACTACAAGCATTGGTATTGACGAATTTATTGCAGATAAGGTAATTAAATTTGTACCAATAATTATAAATTTGTAGTTTTAAGAGTGCAGTGAGTTTTTATTATTATTATTATTATTATTATTATTATTATTATTATTATTATTATTATTATTATTATTATTATTGTACACTATATAATTTTATTAGTATAATGTTGCTGTGTATTTGCTGTGTTCAAATTGATACTATTTATTTTATATACATAATTTGCAAAGTTTTATTTGACGTTTAGTTGAAGTTAGTAAAAAGATAAAGAAAATGATTATACGATTATAAGTTATTAAATTTAGAACAGCTACCGTAGTTGTTCAAAAGTACAAACAATATCAATATACTGTAATGTTAATAATGGCAGATAACTTCATTCAACTTGTTTCACTCTAACCAACCTGAACAATATGCCAATACTGTACAAATAATTAGATCGACAGAAGATCATAAATAAAAATGTACAAAAAATAAAAATTTAATCAATTCATAAAGTATTTAATAATTTATCTATAAAATAAATAAAAACTTGTTTTCAATTTCAGATAAATTACTATGATACAATTAAACCGAATTTAAATATACAAGTATCTATAATACCAAAGACTTTTAAATAGGTCTAAATAGCGGTAGGGCCTACGCCTTCATAGTAAAACATCGTATGTTTAAACTTATCATTGTCGGATTCACGTTGATTGTTTGTTTTTTTCTAATTCAGACCAAGGTGATGAACATTGCGGTTCCAATTTCTAAAAAAAAACAGTTAGTTGAAAATCGCTTTCAGCATCACAATCATCTTCTAATTGCACAAACATGTGATTCCTTGTACAGCCTATCTCAGAAGACGGTAGCGTATTAGGAACGGACATTTCCATTTGCTTTGTTTTCTGTACCGTACCGGTATATGACGGGAAGTCCGGTAACTATACAGATACACTTTCTGTCGAACGAAAATAGAATATTGGCATAATTAATATTGGAATATTAACTTATTGTATTGGTAGCATTTATTTATGACTGTTTTTAATAGATTTTAAATGTTCTTCTTTAAGATTTATGGTGGTTTTTAAAATGATTACAATTGCACATTTTTTTTAAATTACATTTCATGTTTTAAGTGATTTTAAACAACATAATACTTTATATCACAAGTAATTTTGAAGAATCACATCAAATTTTAAGTTAAATTAAATTAATGATATTTTTTGACGTGCAAAGTAGTTCTTTACCAATTACCATACGCAGAATTAATGGGTACCAGCAAACTGCTGGGAGACGTAACCTGCGGTGATTAGCTTCCGTCTCAGGGGCATTTTATTCTCATACGCTTGACGCTACAGAGACTGCAGATATGCTCCATCCCAGTGTAACGCTGGGGCCGGGGTCCTTAGGCTTTCTGAGTGGTCGCTAATTCCGTTGTAGGATTTTAGATTTTAGATGTGCTCATTTTTAATCATGTTTGTCAATATATTATAAATGTTGTTAGTGATAAAATAAATTGATATGACATACAGTGGAGTATCCAGGAATTGTAAATTGAGGGGGCCCAGGGAGTGACTTTGGATGGATGGTCTATACCACCTCAGCCCCGCCATGGTTGGCACTGAGGTTCGAAAGTGTATAACTATGGTACCTCTAGATGGCCGGAAATGGCACTCACCGACTTAAAATTTGATTTCGTTTAATCTCCATTCAAAAAATGACAAATTTAGAGGGGCCAGCGAATTTTGTTTTTCTGGACGTCTGAGTCACTGAAGGGTTTAGGGGGCCATATCCGGACGGCCGCATGAGAACGCAGGCGTTAAGCCACTGCTCCAGCCTCTATGGGCCGTAGTGGCTCGGTAAGGATATTTTCTTCTCATCCAATGAGTATCACAGTGGCGTAGCTACGGGCAGTGCAGCCAGTGCAAAGCACAGAGGCCCATGCCTATTAAGGGCCCATTCATAAATAGACCTAAATATAATAATTTATAATAATTTCCATCTTTTTTGAAGAATTTTAAATTAAGAAGCTTTATTATAATAACCATTCCATTCCATTAAAAAAAGGCAAATAGCCACCAGAAAAACATCGCTTGTGTATCGCTTACTGTATGTGTCACCAAATCAAAGAACGCAAACAATACATTCCAAGTGTAGCTTCGAGAATTAGGAATCTTCAACTGAGTGACAGGGAAAAATTATAAACAGATAAGTAAACAGTACTAATGACTAAGGCCTACTATTAGACCATTATTTAATACAGTTCATATACTCATAAGATTACCTATGACAGTTAAACATGTAAAGTCTATTATGAAAACAACTCACCATTTAGCCTCTGATACACAGACCCCTATGGCGCACCTTTAATGCCGGATTGTAAAGATGACAGGCAAAATTTTCTAGTATACAGGGGGACGGATAATTTAAGTTGTCGGTCCCACAAACCGGATTGAATGTAATCGGACATTCGAACGAACAGCTTTCTGCATTACAAAAAGACATACAATTTAATCATGGCTGTGTCCCGTATTGTAAGTTGCCAAAAAATATGTTAATATACTATCCAATCAACTGGAAAATAATTTAGGGTGTTGTTCAGTTTATAGATTTAAGCCAACCTACCTCCCCATCTAGATGCTGGTGCTTCGGTTGTTGACGGAGGTGCTGGGGTAATTTGAGGTATTGGACGTCGTCGAATGGGGTTAGTGATGACAGGGTTTGGTGTTCTTGGATCGCACTTTCCTGTATGACGTGTTGTTAGCGAACTTCTTTTAATACAAGCTTTGATTTCAAGAAAACATTCTGATGGGTAGGTCATTCCGTCGGAGCCACAGACCATGTCACTCAGTTGCGGCGGCGGACAGCTGGTACACCGTATGTAACCACTGTTAACCTCTTTTCTCCCTGTGTCACATGGTCCTTCATGAGCTAATCTGGTCCGTATCTGCCGGGTGCATGCTCGTCGATGGAGAACACAGCGAGAGGAGTAAGTGACACCGTCTTCACCACATACTTTATCCGATGGCACTGGTATTGGACACGTAGGACACCTTTCAATAGCTGAAATAAAGATTATTAAAAATAAAAGCCGACCATAGGTATACGATACCTTTCTTTAAAAAAAAAACTAAACAAAAAATATTGAATATCTCATTAAAAGTGAATAACTTTGATGAGGCACTGATTTTTTCCACTGTATGTAGGCCTTATACAACAGTTCCTAAACATATAACAGTACCAGCATATTTAAGAGTTTATTCTCATTTAAGTATACAAAATATACAATATTATTCTAAATATTATAATGTCTCTATTATAGCTTAATAGAGATAGTAAATTAGTAATAAGCATGTTCATATTCCATCAGTCGTTTGGTTTGAAGGGAGTATATTAATCATAAGTTTACTCAAAAGAAATGTAGTATTCGTTTTGTAAAACGATGAATACATTTCATTTGTTAGTTCAAACAACTAATCATTATCATTGTTTCAACGTCGTGAAAAATAAACCGGAAGCACAATAAGTACCATGGACGGTACTGTATACCGTAAAAAACCACAATATTTCTATTACTTTAATAATCTTAAATTAAAATTAAGTTAAGTATAGTTTGATCAACTATTACGTAATTGGAATTACTAATTTATGTAGTGATTGTACTTACGTCGTTGCGTAGGCCTCTGAGTTGCAACAGGCTCTGGAAGAATTGGCGTAGGCCTCTTCCTAATACACTGGCCTTCGTGTTTCACCCGTATGTCGATCCCTTTGATGCATGCCTTTACATTCAATAAACACTCCGATGGATAGGTTTGGCCATCGGTTCCACAGACCTGTTCCCACGATGACGGCAAGGAACATGATGGACATGGCTCATTCACATTGTATATATGTCTAGCCCCGACTGGGCACTCTCCATTATAAGCGAAACTTATGTCATTGTTTCTCAGGCATGCTATTCGCTGGAGGTTACATCGTGATGCATATGTTTTTCCGTCACTACCACATACAATATCATCGTAAGCTGTAACTGGACATTCGCCACAAAGTTCATCTAGATATTTAAAAAAAAAGAAGAGGATTTTGGTTTATCACTGGTATAATTGTGCCAGTGCCACATAACATTGTCTGCTGTGATATATCCTCATCGTGTCCTAAATCTATTTTTGGTGTGGGCCAAAACTCCAACTCGCAGGTGCCATTAAAACGAAAATAAATATAAAATGTTTAAACTCACAATTTCCGGATCCCGTTTCTTCTTCTTCGGGCTCAAAGATTGGTGGAGGCCTAGGCGTTGTCGACTGAACTTCTATTTCTGGTATTATTACTGAAAATGTCTGCTTCTTCCTTTTCGGTTTTTCTTCATCAGTACATCCACCAATATGAGCTACAGTCAAATCAATTTTATAAGCACATGCTTTAAGTTCGATGTGGCACGAGGATGGGTAATCATGGCCATCGCTGCCGCATGCGATGTCATTTTGTCCATAGTCAGCTACAATACATGGAGTGCATGATGAGTATTTCGGCTCTTTACGATTCGGCTTCGTCTTTATTGGTCTGGGTTCCGGTTCCTCTGGTTCAACCTCTGGGGCCTCTGGTACGGAAACTACTGAGGATGTTCTAGAGACGCATTTTCCCATATGTACTGGTTGAATATTCGTATGTGTTATACACGCAAGTTTGTCTAGCCAACAGACAGATGGATGTGTTCTAGAATCACTTCCACATACTGCATCTGAGGCATATGGTCTTGGGCAATCACCACAGTCTTTTTCTAAAAAAAGAACAACAATATAAGTATATAGGGACTTAAATGTTTATTTTGTAATTTTTCTTTTTAAATCTTTAGGCACACGAGCCAAAAGCATTGGCATATTCTTCTCAAGAAAAACATACTCACAAGTTTCTCTACATAGACTTAGTATCATTATGAGGATTATGAAGTGGAGTTGGATTTAGTTGTGAGAGATGAATTAAACTCATGATCCTGTGATTTGGAGTCCATCATCTTTACCACCAACCTATTCAACTCTGATCTATAACATTGTGCATGAATAACCATATAGATTTAATACAGTTCAGTTAAACTGTGCTATCAATAAATATGTTATATTTTTTCCCTTATTTTTGGTTAATAGATCCGTTAGAGCCTAAAAACCTTACCTGGTCCCGTGACTGACAGTCTACGATCTGACATAGGGTGTTCCGGGCGATACGCTCGTCTTATTGTAGTCGGTCTTAACGTCGTTGTCGGTGGCAGTGTCGTCGTTGTAGGCGGCAATGTTGTTGTCGGCGGCGGCATAGTAGTTGTCTTTCGAGGGCGTGGAGGTGGTCGTGTTTTACGTTGGCACTTTCCTTTATGTGCAACAGCCACGTGGATGCTGAGTAAGCAACCTCTAATTTTCATGTAACATTTTGAAGGGTACGTTAGTCCATCGATGCCACAAACTTGCTCATTACGTGAAGGCAATGGGCAAGACTTGCAAGCTGTAAACATCAAATGGATTACAGAAATGAAACTTATAATTTAGCAGGATGAAAAAATATACTTGTAAGGCCGAGGAAACCCGCAATATTATTTAAAGTGCAAGCCAATTTGTGGCCTATATCTGGACCTAGTAATTATTAATTCATGGAAGAATGTGTCACGAATTACCTTTAATGAAAACAACTTATCAAAAGACTAACAAGGGTTAATGTAACAACGCATAATTAAATTCATTTTAAATTAAATATGAGACTGGAAAAAACAGTTAAAACATGTTTTAATAAATTCCATATATGATTTCTACGGAAATTTGCTACAAACCTGTTCTAAATTAAGACCTATTTCACCAGCCTACATTTATGATTGAGCATTATTAAATGTTGTATGTGCTTATAAAATTTAAGTACCTTTGTCTGTGGATGTTAACCAGAAAAATTCACTGAAATCCTTCATCTTTGTAGCTTTATGACCGACGAGGGTCCGATGGCTCCCAAGCGGGGGAGGGTGAAGCTCTCTTATACACATCTAGATGTGTATAAGAGACAGATGTAAGTGATGCGACCGTGGTCGGAGTTCAGGGCCAAATCCCGAAAGCTATGATAGTAAAGGGTTTCAAAGGCTTGTTTAATCAAATTTAGAGTCTGTACTAATATATAAAAATACATATATTTTTTGTTGTTCCCAACTAATCGTGGATTTCTCCTGAAAAATGGGGGTGGGGGAGGGTAGCAGCTCTTCTTGACACTGGCGCCACCCATGATTTCTGATTTACCAACCTTTTGAGCCTTGGGACGTTGATTGTGGAGGGCGTCTTCTTTGTCTAATTGTTGTGGGTATCACAGTTGTCGTTGGTGGCTCTGTTGGGACAGCAGTGGTTGTCGGAGGACGTCGGGGTGGGATACGCCTGTGACTTACACAGCTGCCTTTGTGGGCTACTTTTAACTGAATATTGAAAACACAAGCTTTTATTCTCAAGTAGCACTTGGATGGATATGTTTGGCCGTCTTTTGCGCACACACGATCGTTAACAGTAGGTAGTGGGCATGGCTTACATCCTTTGGCTAAAGAAAAACAGAAATATGATATTGTTTAACGATATTTTTCGTTTATATATATCTATATATCTTTCGTCTGTATATTTGATTTATTTAAATTTTATATATTTTACCAGACTGTTAGTGGCGATGATTCGCTGTTGGTCTGTTGAAATGAAATAAATAAATAAATTATCAATTTTGTGGTTAAGTGATACATTACCGATGAACCAAATTATAATGCTGGGGTTGATTATAAAACCATTACTCAATCCATAATTTATGTTTGGCAAACCTTGGAAGTATGGGTGCACTGTAGGCTTAACCGCCGGGGAAAATGCCCTCACAGGATATCATTTATTATTAATTACTAATTCTTGAAATGTGGGCCCTTTAAAATATCGCCATTTCTCGTTATTCGTGGTGCCGTAACCTGTGGGTTGGTCAAACGTGAAAAACAGAAAGATTTGTTCCTACTACTTACCGTGTGTATTAGTGAACACAGAGACTACGATGGCAGCCAAAAAAACTAAACCACGAATTCCGGACATTTTTTTCTGAAAGTAATATATATTGCTTCTATTGAATTTGTAATAACAAGTAAATTTAGGTCTGTCTATAAATAAAATATCAACGTTCGATTAATCACATGTTAAAATAATAAGCGGCCTAAATTGTATTTGTGCGTCTAGTATATTGATGTATGTTTTGTGTAAACAGGACAGGAATTGCAATTAGCTATGAGTCCCTTTCTGCCAAATGTATTAATGACGAAAGTTTCAAAGAGCTCTCACCAAATGTCTATAGATTAACTTCAGACAACACACGGCAGGCGAAGAACAAAAGATTAGGCAAAACTTTCATTCGTTATAGATAATGACCAATACAAGTAAAACAAAATATAGACAAGACATAGGAGATACTCAGACATCTTGGCAGTCACTCGCGTAAGACTTTGTTTATACTTTACTGAAGTTGGATGACTGGGTTATTTTTACGCCCATTAAATTTATTTGAAGTGTTCTAAGAAATACAATAAAACTATTTTAAGTTTGTGTCATTTGACAAATTTGCCCAGAGATGTTTAAAATTGGCATCAAACCAATTGTTGAGTAGGTTGTCAAGACATGGTTTTCCGTCGAATAAATCAGCATGTACAGGTTTGAAAGTTCAATTTATCATTCATTAAAAGATAGAGAACAAATGCGTCCAGTCTTATAGATATGAATACACAAAGCCCTTATGCATTATCTACAAACATGTAGCTTCACAGAAATTATCCAAAGTTTGATTTTTATCAAAATTCTGGTAATCCACTCAAGAGTAGGTGTGACGAATTAACTGTTGAAGATTAACGGACGGAAGGAATGTCTGTTTTACGTACTTATTTAATTACTAATCAGTGAATACATAGCCACTATAATGGCCAAAAGCTACAAGTGACAAACGAGAGATCAACAACGGTAAGTGGTCCTACACTTATACTAAAATATATTTGATATTCATAGGTCAAATATTAGGCATAAATGGCACAGATATTGTCTTCACTTGTGGCGGTCAGTATATTATTATCAAGCAAAGTAACACATGTGTTATTAAAGATGTATTATATTAAACCCATTAAAAGCAATATAAACATTGTTATATAATGAAAACAAGAATGTTCAAGAAAATATAAAAATAAACTTTTTAATTAATTTTCGATTCTCCCAAATAAGTATGTGAAACAAATGATATATTTTATTTTGATATTATATGTTTATTAATATTGAATTTATTATTATTAATTATTATTATTGCTATTATAATTATTACATGGACTTGATCAAGAATTTGATTGTTCTGACAATAACATTCTAATAATTCTTTATATTATATTTATTATATTGTTATATTGACTTTTTATATTTATTTGTATAAAAAATTTATTAATATTATTATTTGATTGTTTAAATATTTATTAATATTTCATTTATTATTTAATTATTATTACTATTATTATTATTATTATTATTAATTTCTTAGATATTAATTTTCATAGACACATTTGCACACTGTAAAAACAGACACCAGATTTAGCAACTATGTTTTATATAGTTATACTTTTCCACTATATTTATATACATAAGTAATTTATGACAAGTATTATATATACTGTATTTTGTTTCGTATAAAAAATATAAATACTCTATATAAATATATTTATTATTTAATTATGTAGAACTGATTATATAAACTAGTTAACCATTATATGCATGTACGTGCTCGAATACTGAATAGAAAACCTTTCTTTAAAGAGCTCTACTTGATATAAATGTAACATCCTATAATGTTGTATTATTAATATATAACTACCAATTTATTATAAGAATATTAACATTAACAATATATATATATATACGTCTGTTTTTACAGTGTGCAAATATGTCTATGTATATACATATATAGACATATATGTAAATTATATATTATTATATACAAATATAACGAATAATCAATAATGTTTACGTAAAAAATATTAAAGACTGCTAAGAAACTCCAAATAACTTGTGTATTAGAGGCCCATCAACAATTTCATAAATACAAGATTCGACAGGAGAGGGAAATAGTAGAATGTTATTGTCAGGACAGTCAAATTCTTGATCATATTCATGTTAATAATAATAGAAATTAATAATAATAATAATGATAATAGTAATAATAATTAAATAATAAATGAAATATTAATAAATATTTAAACAATCAAATAATAATAATATTAATAAATTTTTTATACAAATAAATATAAAAAGTCAATATAACAATATAATAAATATAATATAAAGAATTATTAGAATGTTATTGTCAGAACAATCAAATTCTTGATCAAGTCCATGTAATAATTATAATAGCAATAATAATAATTAATAATAATAAACATATAATATCAAAATAACAAATATTATAGTCTCACCTTGGTCGTTGTGGCCCGATGTAGTGTCGTTAACGTATTTGAAAACATTACATTCTCTGATCTAAGAGTCAGCTTTTAAACGACTTGCTGGTACAGGTACCGGTTTGTGGATTAACACATCGCTCTGATGCGGTAAGGAATCGGAGGGTTACTAGACTCCCGACGGGCGTAGAACAGAGCACGTCATCCCCTAGAGTTACTAAGCTAATCATTCATCATTAACACAGTTTCCTTGAAAAATCTGAAAAGTATATCCACACGTTTTTATCCAAATAAGGAAAACGCTTTGATGAAAGTATCTGTAGATTGGTCAACACTTCGTTTTGTCGCAATTACATTTTCTACATATTCTTCTTTCGTGGATTTGATTGGTTACAAGTCAATGGTCTCTGATTTGATAAAACATGACCACGTCAGATATGTACTGCAGGGAATGGAAAACACATTATTATGTACAGATGCTGAACGAGTTCAGAGAATTTGTGAATCTCTGACAATTTATAGCTCATTAAACGAGGCGCACACTGCGTCTTCAAATAAATCCATCCGCGATCTGTATGCGCTAATAGCGAGCTTTCGAAATGGGCGACGCGGGGAGCTGCGACGGAGAATTCAGTCAACCAAGCTGTTTCGATTTCAGAACGACGCGCTCCTTCGTATCGCGTGATATTTATGCAGCCGCCCCAGCGTGCGCGTATTTATGAATCTCACGTTGCCGTAGTCAACACAACGCCAAATCGCTTAAAGCCCGTTGTCAAATCCACGCAACGAACGACTTCCCCATGTATTCGCATGCGCATGTACGGTTTCACGCTCCACTGCCCGTCGTAGAACGCCGTGTCGTCCAAATCGAAAGCTGCTTATTGTTAAGTCGGGCTGAAACCTCTGTGAGCGCGCGTTTGACGAAATTATACCGTCTGCTTATTGTCGGTAGCAGCCTGAGCGAGTTTTCTATGAAACTGAGTCAGCCGACGACCACCGGCGCAGTGTGTGCTCGGCTTTATACAACGTACGCCTGTACATTAACCTGGGATCGTCACCTTGTTGTCTCACGCATTATACACATCTTGACGAATTAACTGTTGAAGATTAACGGACGGAAGGAATGTCTGTTTTACGTACTTATTTAATTACTAATCAGTGAATACATAGCCACTATAATGGCCAAAAGCTACAAGTGACAAACGAGAGATCAACAAGACTTCTAGATACGCCACTGGTCTCACGATCACCGAGACGCAGTGTGTCGGGCTTAACTTAAAAGGTAAAGAAAAACACAATATTATAGACCTACTGATAAACAAATTTTAAATGCAAAAATACAAATTAATAACTTAGAAAATGAAGTGTTATTCCATAATAAACACCATCCTTTTATAAGATAACGAGTCTTGGAATTTTTTACTCTTCAACTATGACTGTTGGATGTTTCTAACACTTTGTGTGCAGGGCACAATACTAGGATTACGAGCCTTTCATTGGCAAAAACTATCCCGCATTTCGATTTTTAGTCTATATAATTATAGGCACTATATATAATAATTATTTATTAATATGTATTCAAATAAAGGAATAAACCATATTATAGTAATGTGTACAATTAAATTTATCGAAGTTAAATTTAGATAAATCGAACCAGCCGTAGGAATGCCGAAGATATATAATTTAAAGTATTTTTTTTTTTAGCTGAACTCTTTGGTTATGTGATGTTCTCAGTCTCATTATTTTTAACCTAGACCATTTCTGTAATAATTACAGATCTACATTTTCTTCCTCTGAATGTTTGATTACCACATCACAATACAATATACCTGCAAAAACAGATGAATGACATGATGCCTGTAGTGAGATCATCGCCACCCAGATCTAGCACGTACTGTTATATCCGTCGGACATGCTATTTCTATTTCGCTTTAAACTATTTTCAGTTTTGCTGTCGAAATGTCTTTGGGATGAAATTTCCATTTCACTTTAAATTAATTCAGTTCTGCTGTCAACATTAGGTCTCTAAGAACAACACCCTTCAAAATCTAACATTCACGATTTACTTCCAAAAAGTATTTAATATAAAGTTTAAAATATTAATTAATTAAGTAATTAAACACGAAATATACTCACGATAATGCTGATTAAGGGAATAGCAGCTAAAAATACTACAAGAAACAAGACGTTAATGTGAAGTGAGGATTATAAAGGTTCAAAAAAGAAAGACAAAAGGGGGCGATAAAGGCATAGAATGTTAAAATGACAAGTTAGAATCACCATTAAAAGGGTTAAAAAGATTCAGTGTTAGAAATGATAAGTACGAGTCAGCATTAAAATGATTAAAAAGATCAGTGTTAAAAATAATGAAAAGAATCAGCATTACGAAAGTTAGGAGTTAGTGTTAAATTGGCATTCATCAGTTTTAAAAGGGTAAAGCAGTATTCGTTACACACATTGCAATTTACACTACAAGTTTTCAACGAAAGTATAGATTTAGGTGTACACATGACTTCCTTATTTTTATTTGTCACTATATTTTTCTTGGATTTCTGTAATTGACAAGAAATATTAAGATACAATGCGTATTATTTAGGCCTAACTTAGAGCAACATGCTTATGCCCAGACATAAGTTATTAGCAGATTAGTGTATCTTATTTTTGTTTTTTGTCCTGAGAAGTGATGACGTCTGTCAATTCAGACGTGAGTTTAGATCAAAGAAAAAAAAAACAATTGAGAACTATAAACGGACGTAGTGACTTTCATACTCACGTCATACGTTAGACAAGGACAAAAATAAAGGCACTGGTATAATAGGCAACACACGCTTATCAAGATCTAGTCTGCTGTGAACGTGCAATAACCCTCAAATTAATCTGAAAACTACAATTTTTTTTACCAAACAATGCAAATCCTATCTAAAATAATCACTCATATTATTGTGACGTAAAAACGTAAAGTTCAATTATTATTGACGTTACCACTTGTTACTAATAATATATAATATTTATATATCTAAATTGTTGTTATCCCATACATGGGGACTGCACATACTCAGAAAAAAAAAGATTATCTGTTAAAACAAGAACCGAGTGAAATATTTAACTGTTATAACCCTCTCACTCTTGGACTCCAGAGGAGAAGGTTAGAAGCATAGCGAAGTTAAGCTGTATTATAATTATTATTATAATTATTATTATTATTATTCTTATTATTATTATTATTATTATTATTATTATTATTATTATTATTATTATTATTATTATTACTACTACTACTATTTTTAATAATCATAATAGTAATAATAATAATAATAATAATAATAATAATAATAATAATATAATAGTAATAATATCTACAATGTATTGGCCTAAAGCAAAGGCCTATTTTCATATCAAATTGATTTATCGAGGACGAATAAAAATCACGACTTAACTGTGTCATAAAACCAATCGTCATGTTTACAAACAATAAAACGTATATTTAAATATTGAATGAAATACCAATAATGCATATTCGTGAATTTACTCATACAAACTTTCAAAACCAAATTCAATGATTGTTTACTGAAGTAAAATGTTTATAATTGTGTCCAATGACGATTTATAATGTCATGTTACTACATTATCACCTCATTACTATTAATGAAGCTTTCGTTAATTTATATGTTATTTACATACATTTTACAAACATTTATATTCCCTCTTAGGCTATTATCTAATATTGTATTTTTTCATTAGTAATGCAAAATAATATTTGTTTGATAGATAATAAAGCAGAAGCGACAAGGAAAACGTGGTTGCATGATATCAATAGTTATCATGGTGATGAATATTTAACAGGCGGACTGAATAATGATGAAATGTAAAGATCAGACACGGAACAGTGTGATGAAACATTTAATTGATTGATTGATAATTCTTATATTATTTGCTATGAAACTATACATTAATTCAAATATCGAGGGATGTACTAAAAGGCAGACAAGACATTATGATCATTGAGATTTTCTATAGGCCTTTTCCAATGGGAATTGTACTCTTGCATTGTTTGTAGAAGCCTCATTGCTAGTTTATGACGTGTTTAAAGGAGTGTCAAGGTAGTTATGAGTTCACATTACGAACTTGTCTCTTATCAGTCTATTGTTGAAATTTGTGTGATCAGAATACTTTAACGCCGTCACTGGTTTTGTTAAGTAATGTGTACCATAATTCTCCCAAAATAGGTAATAAGTCGGAAGAGGAAGAAGAGTGTGCTATTTGGCCAATAAATTACGCACAGATGCTATAATATATGCCGAAGGAATATTAGTAACAAGAGCAGACGATCATAAATGAAAATTAATTGAAAGTAAATGATAAAAATAGAAATTCAAAATAATTTAACACTGGTTGGATTTTCCCTCCTCTGACTATCATAGTTGGCTGGTGTTTATAGGCCTACCTCATTTATAATAATAAAAAAAATAATGGTCGACTTATAGAGCGCATAAGCTTACCTGTGTGCGCTTAAAATCATTACCCCTTTGGATCAAGAACAAAGAAACACATACCGAGGTGCCTGGGGGAAATTTCCATAATGCTCCAATTATAATCAGCGTATTTTTGTGTTTGAACCTATTAGAGTACGGTAGAGACAACCGTGGGTACTGAAATGCCTTATCAGGGACGTAGCCAGGATTTTGAAAGGGGGGGGGGAGCCGTTATGCAAATTACGTAGGACCCCGGCGGGGTCAAGGAGGCGAATCCCCCTGTGAAGTAGCGCACTCTGAACGCTCTTAGGACTGTTTGAGAGGATAAATTGAAAATTGCAATAGACGCATTATAAATAAGCGCAAAAATTATTATATAATAAATCAACAGTGGCAGATCCAGGAATTCGAAAGAGAGGTGAACGAGGGAGGGACTTTCACAAACCGAGGAACCACCCACCTCAGCCCCACCATGGTTGGGACTGAGGTAAGAAAATTTATTACTAGGGTATCTCTAGATGGCCGGAAATTACACTCACGCACTTCAATTTGAATATATTTTCTTCTTTAATTTTCCTTAAAAAATGAAGGGGGGGGGGGCCTTAAATCCACCTCTGCTCAAAACATTCTTTATCCACTGCCAGAATAGTCATAATCACGCAAAATGGACATGAAAAACCAGATCACATCCTAAAAACAAACAGCAGTCACTAAGACATACATCAGGAGCCGATTCGATGGAGTTCAATGTCATACCCAGGGAAGGGCACAGACCTGTTTTGAAAGGTGGAGAGGGAGGGCATTTTGTGAGTCGACACCCACCTCAGCCCCACAATGGTTGGAGCTGAGGTGGGAATATTTGAGGAAATAGTACCTCTAGATGGCCAGAAATGACACTTTTAGTAAAATTCATCATCATCCCATCACCATTAGTCAAAATGAAGTGCCAACAAAAACTCTCATGATCTTT